CACAGAATCGTCTGGGTTGGAAAAGCCCTTGGAGCTCCTCCAGCCCAACCATGACCCTCCCCCTGACCGTTCCCAACTCCCCCAGATCCCTCAGCGCTGGCTCAGGCCGACTCTTCAACCCCTCCAGGGATCCCGGGGACTCCCCCCCTGCCCTGGGCAGCCCATTTCAATGCCCCAAAACCCCTTCTACAAAGAAATACTTCCTAATATCTAGTCTAAACCTTCCCTGGTGCAATTTGAGGCCATTCCCTCTTGTCCTATCGGTTATTACTTGGTTAAAGAGTCCTATGCCTTGGCAGCCTTAGGAGAGCGCAACGCGGAACGGCACAAAGCCCAGCTCTGGTCCAGCGAGGCGAGAGCAGCCGAGCGTAGCTCTGCAGCCACTTCACAGCACAGCGAGCTCCACCTCAGCATTCACAATACAGGCATTTTCATTTCCCTTCTCGTGCTGCTTGGAATTCCCCCTGTGCAAACTCCTTTGACCAGCGGGTTGGCCTGCTGATGGCGTGGTGGCCGCCTGACGACTGACCTCTCTTGTATTTCTGTTTGTTCTTCATCTGAAGTAATTTCCTAGTGCGATGGAAGCATGTCATGCACTTTCAGAGGAAAGATAAAATAGATGAAAATGTAACCAGGTTACAGGCAGAAGGTATCCCGAGTGTGTTTGCTAGCAGCTTATTCCCATGGCATTCCTGCGGGAGTTACTCCTTCAGCTCCTTGCTGGAATCTCAGCAGCTTCTAAGCAACTGAGCATCACTACCATGGGGATTAGGAGGCAGTGGAAGCTCCGTGCAGTAGAGCAATACTTGTGTTTGTCTGTTTATAATTCATTTCTATTAGTCTTTTTGTTGTGTATTCATGGCCACAAGCAAGTGCTGCAAGTTATTGTGGTGAAGGAGGTTTAATTTTGCTAATCCTGTTTTATTCCCATTTCAGTGTAGCTTTTTGAATGCCACTGTGTGGTGCCTGGAATGAATTGAAAATGTATTTTTTGAATGGTATTGTCTTGCGGAATGTATAGCTCATCTGAATGTGCTTTAATACTAGATGCTGAAAAGAAGGAAAATCATCCATCTGAAAATGCTGTTTGCATGGACTCTTTCATGCTGGCTGGAAATAACACCCTGCATACCAAGCAGGGAGGAAGGACAAACCTCTTCCTCACAATACACTCAAGCCCTTAACCTGATTACAATTTTTTTTATCTTGGCTAAAAAGCTTTTTCTTTCATCCTTCTCAATAAGAGTGTTTCTTTTTCCTGTTTGGTACAACACCTAATGCAAGCCAGACATATGCAGTAATTTTCACCAAATTATGATTTATTTGTACTCTTTACACCCAGAAGAGTGCAAATGAAATGATGACTGCATTGAACAAGTCATTTTATGAATGCAGCTGTGACTCAGTCCTTGCCTGGGAGCAGGTCCAGCTGTCACTGCGTGGTTCTGGGTGGAGGAACACTCATTCAACTGGGAGGCAGAGGGAAGAGGGACCCTCATCAACTTTATTTCTTGAGCAGGAAGACTCAGCTGGGTAGGACGCTGGCTCTGTGCGTGTGAGGAGGAGAATATCTGGAGTAAGATGGACCCATCGCTTCCTTGCTCTGTTGCGAGTGTCTTCAACTCATAGATCCTCCGAAATGGCCAACACGAAGAGCTACGTGCCTGTGCTTGACTGATGGGATAGGATGTGGCTTTTTGCAGCCATCTGGTATAGCTGCAGGGATGTCCCGTTGGTCCCTGGGCAGAGAGCCACCATTCAGCACCACGGAGGTGTTTGTTGGGAGCGTAGTCCAACGTCAGGCATCATGCTGTCAGTGGGGGGACCAAGCACCTAAAATGGAGCCGGGACATTGACTTTTCTCCTGGGAACACAGGGATGGCTGGATGGTCAGAGGTCCTTGATTGCTAAAAGCCTGTCTGGGGGAGAGAAAGAATTTCTCCCAGAAAGAACTTTCCCAGTCCCCTGAGAGGCTTTTCAAGTCCCACCATCCTGGCAGTGAGGGACGTGCTCAGACAAGCAAAGCAACCAGCCACCCCCTTTGCTTGTTTAGAAGTTACAACACAATTATTTCTTCTGATGCCTCCACTTGCTTGGGTTATAAGAAAGAGTGTGTGATTGCTGCCTCTCCACCTTCTCCAGGTCATTTGTGATTATTTTTTTTTACAGCTGTCTATCACATTCCCTGTCCTACTGGACATTTCTTGTCTGGACTTGAAGCGTCCTATCAGTCCTGTTGTAAAACTCTGATTTATCAGTTAATTATGGCCAGGAAGTCTCTGCAACTCTATGACACCTCTCCTTTTTCTCTCGAGTCCTGTTTGTGGCATCTATTACTTAAAGCATCGTGTTCTAGTAGTAACCCTTAGGCTATGTGTATTACTGGGTTTTTAATTCAAAACAGTGTCACAGAATCAATAGAATATGAGGTTGGAAGGGACCTCAGGGGATCACTTTGAAGGTGACTCCCACCAACTGTGTTCTTGTTTCTGTGTGCAAAGTGGTTTTGGTGCATGTGGACCAGATTTCTTTCAGAAGCTTCACTTCAGTTGCCCATCGTGTGTCCTCCAACTTCTCATTGGACATACAGGTCCATACTGGTGATGGACACACCAGTAAAGGATGTACTGGTGATGTCCTTTAGACAGCTTCAAACCATGGATTGGGTGGGGATCAGACTAAAACCCAGACTAAATCTAGTCCAAAGGAAACCCTCAAAGTACAGAGGGTGTAGCCATAGGAGCCTCAGCACAAAATGCTTTGCCTGATTATATCTGATTCACCAAAGTATTTGTTAACAAAGACATATTTTAGGAATTTTATAGTGCTTTTCCTTGTCAGAGTATTATATGACCACCAAAAATGTGAAACATCTTCTTGCCTTATTCACGCTATTGATGTGGAATCTGTATTGCAGGCTGATAGTGGAATCCAACTGGGGGGAAAAAAAAAAAAAAAAAGTCATTGATGGAGGGGAGGCATTTGGGTGAAAAGCAGGAGGTTTTGGCTTCTAGGCTTGTGTTTAGAGCAGCGGTAGATGCTCCTCTTGCATTGTGTCATGCTGGCACTTCTGGGCAGCACATTCCACCACCTTGTTACTGTCAAACCATCTCCTCTCAGATGCTGTCATTTTACTGAAAAAGTGAGGTGAAACGTGTCCTACGTGCTTTGGAGAGGGAGAGGAATTTCACTTTAGTGCCTTGTCTGCGATGATTTGTTTGGAGAAATAACGTATGATAGAGATGAGGTGGTTGGGCTTAAATCCACATTCTTTTTCACTAGAGAAAAGAAAATATCCACGAATGTCAACAACTTTTTAATTTCATGTTCATATGAAGAAGTCATATGTGGTTAAAGTAGAGGGAGGTGGGTATCAGCGTATGTGGACGCATAACGGTGTGTTTGTGAAGTTTGAGGTATGTGTATGTGTGTCCTGTATCAGCCACATCCTGCACTGAAATAGCCTCCTGTGTTGCACAGCATCCCTCTGGCAGCCAAAAGCCTGGCTTTTGGACGGACGCTTACAGAAGCTGGTCTTCACCCTCTCAGGGAGAGATGACGTTGGGTTTTCTCCTGTAAACAAGAACTCTAAACCAGGTGGCAAACGTCCGCTTGCTCATCAAGGAGACTCGCAGCACTGCCTGGGGACAGGAGGCCCAAACGGCCATAAAACCCTTGTGCCTGAGTGTAAATCCCCAGCCACAGTGTCTCACGGACGTGAAGTTTTGCATTGATTTTCCCGTCAATCTTCTTAAGAGCTCCATCGCGCGTTACCGGAGCCGCTGGTGTAAATGCGTGTCTCCGTGTAGCTTTCTCTTCCAGTTTGCTTTATAACCGTGATTTCCTTTGCTTTGAGAATTGCTCCTTCTGTGCTAACTTGGGGGTGGAGGGAAGGCTAATTAATTAAGCAGTAATTGTTGTCAAGTCAATTGGTGCTAACATTTAACATTTGACTTGTTTACTATCCTGAGGTAAAGCGGAAGGAGTTAATGATCTAACAAATTGTGCATCCATCAGGAGAGACTTGTTTGGAAAGAATGGTGTTATTTATGAACTGTAAAATACTACATTTTAGAAAAACCCACATTTTGAAACAAGATCGTTGAGGTTCTTGTGTGAAATTAATACTAGATAGCTGTGGAGACAAGTGTGTCGCCTAATAAAGCTTAATGACTGATTTTCCCATTAATCAGAATTGAGAATGTGCTTCATTAAGATAATTAACTGAGCCAGTTGCTTAACTGACAGTTAGTAGACACAAATTCCCAAGTTACTTGCTTTCCTCTAAATAAAACTCACACGAAGCTAACCCAGCACTGCTTCATCATCTTTATTGGAGAGAGAAACAGAAGGGCCGTTAAAATCTCACTGCTCGCGTTAGGTCTGTGACTGCATCTCCCCATCTGGGGCAGCGGTGGGATGTGGTGGGTGGCACTGGGCGTCCTGCACAGCCTTGCCCAGAACCCAAGCCCTGGGCTCAAGGTTATTATAGTCAACTCATGCTGAAAACTCACAAATATTTGCCGCTCTCCATCTCGCCAGCAGCAAACGGTCTTTTATCTGCTAATTGCTGAAAGGTCAGGTCTTCGTGGTGGTTGTTTTTTGTCACTAAGAACTATTAGCTTCTCCAAGGGGGAGAATTCCTTGTCTGAATTTGTGGCTTCTCCTCTTTGTTCGTTGCAAGCTGGAAGTGGGGTCATGAGTCTTGGGCCCCCCTGAAGGCAGGGATGTATAAGATTAATTTGCTCTGGGTACATTTGTAGGCAGAATATGCAGAGCTGAAGAAGTTAGGGGAATTAACTGAGAGATCCAAAACTTAAATTATTAAATATGCTATCTGGTTGTAACGTCTACTTGTAAATCCTTGCCTTCACAGCTCTCTGTGTCTTGAATGATAACGTGGTAATGCAATGATGTAGCAGAAGACTCTTTGTAGAGAAGACAACTCTGGAGCTAACGTAATGTGTTTTGTCTGAGCTCTGCTTTTCTTTTGTCCTCAGAGTTCCCGGTCTTCCACCATGAACCCTGTTTACAGCCCCGTCCAACCTGGGGCTCCCTACGGAAACCCGAAGAACATGGCATATACAGGTAGGACCAGTGTTTGGTGGCTCTTTTGCGAATGTTCATGTTCGGTGGTGAGAGCAGATGATCATTAATGAGTGGTTAATCCCCTAACGAAGGGAGGAAGAGTTCCCATCAGGGAACCAGATGGGAACGTGACTTGGAGGAAAAACTCTTCAGTAAAGCCAAAGCAGCAAGGTTAGTGAGAAGAAATGGATCTGAGTTCATAAGAAGAGGGTGCCCTGGAAATCCTAAAGAAAAGGATCAAAAGGGGTTTTCTTTAGACAAAACAAAACACACAAGAAGTTGCTGGGGGCCTTGCCTCCAGAGCTGAACTGAGTGACTCGGGTGCACGTGCTGGAGTAATCCTGCCATAGAAATGAGGATTCCACAGGCGAGAGCTTGTTATTTGGAGAACGTGTAGTTATTGTTCTAGATGGTGATTTGAACTACATTACTGACTGATTTTTTAATTTTCAAGTTATGCTTTGGTTGAGTTAATCTCATGTTGAACAGCAGCTCTGATGTCTGTTTGAAGTCCATCTTTAGAACAGAGTTGTCTAAAAATGTCATCTTTAATACTTGAAAAAGGCACTGAAATATGTTTACCATAATTATGTAACTAGTGGGGAACTAAAGTGTACTGATACAGAAAAAAATTTAGCTCAGGGAGAGAGCTGCTTTGGAAGAAGAAAATCTCAGTTGAGGTGTATCTGTGGTTTTCCCCATGGATTATGTTTACCATGTGTTCTTCTGATCTTGTAAGCACCTTACAAAACCAGCCTTGGAAGACTCCTCCTAACATTTTGTTGAGTGTGATTAGTTATTAAGTGTCATACCGAGTTAAGACTTCCTTCTTTAGATTTCCATTGCCCGTTGCATGAGTTGACTTTTACCTAATGTGTGAAATTGCTTCGGAATGTGCTTTTGTGGGGGGAGAGTGGTCAAGAGCAAATGGAAATGAACATCAAATGCTCTCAGCTACTTCATTTACAAAATATTCTCATTGACTTCGGTAGCTGCTTCAGCTGGTGGATCAGTAGGGCTGGCTGCGTCGCCGCGAGGAGACCTGTCTGATACTCTGCAGAGCACAGAGTTCCTCAAAGGCATTTTGCCCCATTTTCATTCACCCTTTCTTTTTCCCCATCAAATTTATGCATGCTGCTTTGTTGGAGATACTGTAGCTCGAGGGAACTTTGGTCTCACAGTCAAAGCACTAGAGGCTTGGAAAAAAAAAAAAGTCTGTGAATAAGTCTCTTCAAAAATACCACCATTGTAAGAGGACTGCAGGCTCCAGCAGTGCTTGGGTGATAGAATGAGCTCATAAGTGCACAGTTATTTTCCTGCACTAGAAAGAACAGCAATTTTGTGCTTTCCAGCACAAGGACAGTTTGGACAAGACTCTACTTCTCTCCTGCTTTACTTTCTTTTTTTTTGCATGTGTTCAAAGCTCCACCTTAATATCTGTGGAATATAGATTTTCTATATCTGCTTTCATACCATCCTGAATGTTTTAGAAGCTGCTTTCTGGCACTTGATAAGACAATTTAATTTAAATATCGAGGTGCAGATTGGATAGTTTGTACCTTGACCTTTCTGGAAGGAGAATTTTAGAGAGTTGATTTCTGGTTTAGATGAATGAATACTATGTGACTGCATTCTGAATAATGGCAACGTCAATAGGATATTATCTTCTACAATAACCCGCTGGTTAATAACCATGAAGATTATTCCGTGCACTTAAACATATAAAGCTATTGTCTCCCTTGGCCAACTTGTGCCAGCTCTGGTTTCCCCCCAAAGCTTCAGACTTCAGGCATTTGTCTTCCAGAGTTTGTGGTAAATGAAGGGAGAGGAGTGGTGTATGTGCACAATGACCTTGGGAGAAAAAAGTTGGAGGCAGATCACCGTAACAAGGTCCTTTCTTATGTCAGTAGAAAAAAAAAGGGAAGACTGCTTGAACGTAGGACACTGAAGCAGGAATTGAATTATATTAGTGCTTGGTTTTCCTGTTGCAGAGGTGTAAGGTAAGGAGTCAGTGGGCTGAATTCTCACAATGAAGTCCCAAAATAGATAATAAGTTACAGAGTGTTTAAACGAAGAGTCGTTTTCTTTACTAGGCAAATAGTATTACGAAATCTTTCAAATATTAATTTGTTTCAGTATTTATCAAAAGACCTAAAATTTTATTGCAAAAAAGGGGGCAAAAAATTTAAATTCTTTCCTCTATATATCAAAGACAGGCAACTCCAGAGGGTGGCATGAACAATTAGTAAAAGAAAGCTGCCATGTCTCTGGCATTACCAGTGCCAGGCTCTGTCTATCTAATTTTTACTTTCTGTTCTTAGACTTCATTCACATCGCTTTAACTTGTGTCATTTAGCTACGTATCAGCTTCTAATGTAGCCACAAGCTATTCTAGAGGATATTTAAACTCGGAGAGATGAACAAAATAGACTTTCCACGGGAGGAGCATGAAGTTAAAGAGTTTGTAGATACTTCCTTCTCAAATTGCTTTGAAAATAATCACTAAAGCATATGACATGGTAGATCTGGAGGGGTTGTTGATTTGTCATCGCGTGTGCAAACTCCTTCCGTGGTGCTGGGAGCTCATTACAGCTTTGGGGCTTAACGAGTATCTCAGTCCTGATCAGCAGCTGAATCGGAAGTTTGCTTGGAGCCCTTAATTTGAAATAACACGTCAGCAAACCGTTCCCATGATCATTTCATGAGACAGAGTGTGACATCTGTCCTAAAATTTTGATTTGAGATCTAATTTGGGATACGATATAGAATTTATACAGTATAAGATATAATAATTTTTTTTTAATCCCATCTTTTTGCAGTAGTGGCACCGAAAAAAAATTAATGCCAAGCTTTATATTAAGCAAGAAAGAGAAAGAAAAAAACCTGAAGTATAATAAAGTTGAGGGTAAAGGTTGTTAGCCCTAGGCTATGTTCTCTGTTTGCTTTAGAGTTCAGGTTTTTTTACCCCAAATCTAGTACAGCACATGTATTACTTAAATTTTTGTCTTCAAAGATCATGCATAAACCATTAATTTCTGACCTTGTGGAATAAAACTCATGTAGGATATATGTGGAAAGAAAACAAGGATGATAATCGGGATGCTGGCAGGTTGAATTCTATGCTCTTGTGGTTTTTTAGTGTTAAATGCGAATGCTTTATATAGAACAGCTTGCTTTTGGTTGAAATAATCAGTTTTAATCTGATTTTCTTCTTGTTCTCACTTCTTTGTTGTTTTCTGTACCTGGTGGGCTAAGGAGAGATGCCCAATTCAAGACAGATACCAATATTTGTACCAAATTGGCTGCTTGTGTGTTAGGGAGAATGGGAAATCCTTGGCACATACTCAAGTACTCGAGGTACCATACATTTATTCAGCTACTTCATTTTTCCATTTTGATTTTCCTTACAGGAAGCGTGAAGGACAGTTATTTCCTAAATGATTTTTGAAGTGTGGTCTGAGTTAGATGAATTTTTATGGGGGAAATTATAGTTAAGTTAACAAAAGGAAGTTTTAAAATAGAGTTATTAGGTGAAACAAAGTCAGAAGTGTTAAGTTCCTAAGAGAAATGTTTATTGAAACATTCCCCATATTTGAACCAATAGATTTATTAAGCAAAGGTGGTTTGTCATGTAGTTAGTATGGCTCATTTTCCAGTTCCTTACAACCCAGATCTGTTGAATTGCAACCTCCTTCCCGTGTTTTTTTTTTTTTTTTTTCTCCTAAACTGAAAGAGTAGAGTAAACCTTGGCGGTGCTTTCTTGCTATTGAATGAGCTGGTTGATGAGCTGAGCTGAGGTGACGTGCAGACAATATTCTTGCTGCAGATGGAGCTACATCTGTCCAACACCGGGTTTGTGCAAGTCCAGGCTCCTTGTGCTCGGCTGGTGACTGCTTCCACTTCGCTAATTTGGTGTCTTTTAGAACATCAGCAGCCAACAGTGTTTGAGTGTTGTTTACTATTTAATTAAACCAGACTGTAATTAACTCAGATCTTCATGTAAGCTGTTGTTTTAATTGAGGTTAACTTTAAAATGTATTTAAAGACTCCCGTTTGCTTTTATATTATTGGTAGAATTCATTTTACCTGCCCCAAATGTGAGCTGACTGGTTTTCATTTGGCACAGTATCCTTCCTATTTTCTTGCATCCACGTTTGCTAAGGCACCACTCCTGCAGCAAATAGATTAGCTCGTTGGTGTGGAATCAGGGATGAAGAATCAGTCTCTCCTGTAGCTTGTTTGACTTCAAGCGTGAAACTGTAAAAGTGTTTGTTATAGCTCACACTATTATCATTTTCCCTGCCAGAGGCTGATTAATATGCTGATAAGATGCTGTGATTCATGAACCTTCAGTAGACTGACTCTGTATTCGTCGTAGTTATTACTAAATAATAAATGATAATAAAATCCAAGAGCCCAAAGATGTGAAGCTGGTTAGTAAGTCTCCAAGGAGTTCGTGTCACATCGCTCTAGCACACAACACTTCCCAAGTCCTGCTGCAGCACCAACCTGCTCAGAAGAGACGTTCTCCATTTTTTTTGCTGATGGAAGCCCTTGGTTTGCTTTCTACAAACAGCTCTGCTCAGGCTCTGTCTGCCATGAAGCAATATTTCTGTCCCCCTCCCCTCAGTTATTGAAGGTAATGGAAGAAGGTTTTTATTCTACAGGTTATCTGAAATTTTAGAAGGAACAGGACAAGTTCAGAAAAATCACTAAACAACATGGATATATTCTCTTCTGTTCCTTTTTTGACCACAGATTACTGATGCAACTTTTCCAGATGACTGTGCCCCTTCATCTTCTCCCACATCTGACCTACCGCTTGCTATTTAACAAAAATTCACACTTTTATTGCAAACTCCCCGTACTAGTCCTAAATCCCTGCTGTGGAAGCACCAGTACTTTTGTATCTGATACACACACCATTTGACCCTGCCTGGGGTCTCTCCTGGTCACCCAGATTCAGAATTGTTTTGCCCAGTTTTAGGTACCTGCAGCAT